CTTCCCTAAATCTTGACTACTCATAGTGCCTGCATGCGTTCTCTCCTCCCCTTTAATTTCCAGAGTACTTATCTACCTCATGGAGCTCATAACCCATATGATAGCCAGTCATATAACGTCTTCTTTTTCCATACCAGGCTGAAAGCTATTTCAGAGGCAGGTTCTGTGTCTTTGCATCCCCTGCTGCCATCAGCACAGAAAAGGAGGTGCTCAAAACACAATCTTTATACCAATATTTAATAAGGAGAAGTTCACTAAGTATTTGCTATTTATTTATTAAGTAAAGAAGGAGCACATTAAATAATTAATTTATTTAGGTGTGTAACTTCCTACCTGGCTACAACAACTCACCCCATTCATCAATGTGGAGTCAAAGAAGAGGGAAAGGAGAGATGAGCCTCTAACGGGGCGAAGTGGAAGGCAACTGAAGAAAATCAACGAATCTGGGTGCCTAGCAGCCATCAGAAATCACGACTCTCCTCCAAGTGCTTCACAGAGACCACTTTCAAATAGGACACTGTTAGATCATGACACTTCCTGACATCCTCTGATGTAGAATAAATTAAAAACAGACAGAGAGAAAATCTTTGTACTCAACATCTCCCAACATCAAATGTACATTTGGCTTTTCCTCAATTAAAGTATTATGCTATACCACTTTAATGGGTGAATTTTGAGATATCCTACAAAAGTTCTCATAAGCAAATAGCTTCCAAATTAGCGATTTTTAAAAGCAAAGCAATAGGGTAGGTAAGGAATGCATAAACAACACCAAAAGCCACACTGAATACTTTTTTTGGCTGTATACGCCTGAAAAACTGCCAAGTTCATTTTGATAAGCCTTTGTTAAAAACAATAAACATGCCTCAGCTTGCAAACCATGCCGTTTTGAAGAAAAAACAGTCGAGGGAATTAGAAAATACTTAAAACTGGAATGTCTGAATAAAACCTTCCGTGGTAACGGATTTACCAAGAAGTCACAACACTGTGAGGCCTAGGAATATGGAGGGGAGTGGGGGACGACACGTAAAGTGAGAAAAAAATGAAAGCAGAACACCATCTGCATAAATAAATAAGCAGCTACATCTCACACACTGGTACAATTACAGTACGCAACACTACCACGGGTGCACTAACGCTATTGAGAAAACGAATCCCCCCAGGCTTCATTAAGTTTAACGCCACCACAGTGATGTCCCTGCACTAAAGGAAATGTAATTCAAGGGACTCCGAATTAACAATATATAAAATAACCAAATGTGGGACCTGTTCTTCGTGTACAGGAGGGTATCAGTTCATAGAAGTTAAAGTAATTCATCTAAATTCCCTTCTTTGTTTTCAGTGATTACAAAATCAGCAGGATCAGGGGATTGGAAGGAAGATAATTTGGAATATTTATGTTCATTTCCCTACTTTAGGCAAAACCGAAATTCTCTTCTATCTGCCAAACAAAATCCAGAAACATTCTAATGAATGAATGTAACTTGAGCTCCATAGGAACAAATCTCTTTGCTGTGTTCACCGATAGATCCCAAATGCCCAGAACAGCACCAGGCACAGGGTAGGCACTATATAATATAGTAGGTAAATAAAGACCTCTATTAAAATGAACTAAATTGAAAAACATAAAAAATGTGCAAGGCATAAAATGCTACAGAAGTCAGCTTAAAGTCCCTTTCTTTATAGCTTTACAGAGCTTATAGCTCTGTTATAAGGTCATGGTGTTCATCACAATACGCAAATGATCCTCACATAAACTCCTTTTCTCAAGTTGGCTCCAAAGTCATACATTACACCTTTTACTCTAACCAATCACCATAGGGAGCTGAGATTCCAGGGAGAGATGGTGGTAAATTTAGTTCACCCGTTTTGATTACTTTTCTTCTCTGGATGTTCACCTAGGATATATCTGCATATTCATCACTGTTCAAGAAGAATGTAACTATTATTTAAAATTAAGGGTTCATATCTTTTTAATTGTACTACAGAGGTGGTTTGGCTAAATCAACCACTCATTTATTTCAAAACTCCACCAGTTAAAATAAATAAAAAATAAGAACAGGAAAATGATATAGGTGATTCTAGTTCCATCGTTTTTGTTCAAAATGCCTAGCAGCAATTTGCTTGGAAAGCGTCACTAAGTGGGAAAGAGAAGGCCTGGATTGTGGCATTGGTTCCATCACCAGTAAACATAGGAGTTTAGCCAATCCTTGCTATCCGGAATTTGAGCTTCCTGGCCGGCCAGGTGAAGGGTTTGAATAGATGATCTCTAAAACCCTTTTCAATTTCCAAGATCCTGTGATTATGTGACCAAATCCAGTCACTTAATTACTACTCCTTATTTTCATCATAAATTTCTTTAACACACAGACGTTGGGCACCTCGGGAGGGTCAGACACCATTAGCCTAGTTTGGCATGACATTGGTGGGGGAGGGGCGAGACAAACTGCAGGGTCCGTTGATGATTTCAAAAGCTAGTGATCTCAGATACCTGTGGAGACGGTGTGTTTCTAAATTTGTCAGGCCTTGTCTGTCTCCCTGGGTTAAGCCGGCTGCGCCTTCAGAGTGCCCAGCTCTCAGCAAAGAAACGAACAAGATGAACGAATTAGAATCCCATCAGAACGGAATGGTTTAACCAGTGGCCTGCTAGGTTCCATCTGACTCAACATTTAAAAAAAAAAACAAGTTGTGAGATGGTCAGACAGCTGAATTGTAAAAACGGAAGGCTAACCAAATAGCCCCAGGACTTACTAGAATCGTGCTTTAAAATTTTGCTTGCCAACACTTGTCCCTGAGTTTGCACTACGGGGATCACGGCCTTCCTTGAGCACAAGAAACAGCTGAGAAATTAAGTTCAGTCAATTGAGGGTTTTGAAGGCTGGTGTGCTGTTAGCGCACCACACGCGAGAAATAAAAATATTACCTGAGGCAGAAGAAGATTAAGAAAGAAAAAGAAAAAAAAAAGTCACGGAAAGCCCAATCCAGCAGAAAAGCGGTCTCTGTTACACCGGGAAATCTGCCTTTGGAAAGCACAGGAGATGGAGATCAAAGCCGCTTCCTCTTCAGCCACCTGCCCAGAAACCGCTGGAGCGCGGGCCCGACACCGACAGGACGAGGGGGCACATGTCTGTCCCCTAACCGAACCCCCACAGGCGCCCCGAGGGAGCCAGGTTGGGGTGGGGGCTCTGGGGGCCGCGGGAGCCACCGAGCGCCCTCCGCCAGCTCCACCACGCCCAGCCCGAGAGCCCCGCCGCCCCGCCGCGCAGCATGCCCCGCGTCCCCTGAGCCCCCGCGCCGCCGGGGAACGGGGAGAGGGACAGCCGCCCGCGGGAGGCTGAGCCCGGGGCAGCCCCGCTGGGCCGGTGCCCGCGCCCCGCAGCCCGCCCCGGGCGCGCAGCCCCCCTTTCTGCCGGCTCTGGCCCGGCCCCGCCGCGTCCTCACCTCGCGTGGACGGCTGTACCCCGGGCGCTGGCGCGCGGACATGACCCCCGGGGCGCACCCACCCGGCAGCCTCCCTGAGCCGTGGCCCCTTCCCGGGCCCCAGCCGCCGAGGTGCGCGCTTCCGAGGGGGCGGGGAGCGCACGGGGCGGAGGCGCTGGCGGGGCCGGGGGCCCCGCGGGCAGCGCGGGAGGAGGAGAGCGTCGCCGGGAGGAGCCCAGCGCCCGGCCTCCGACACGCGCCGGCAGGTTCAGCCCCCGCCCCGCCAGCTCCACCGTGGGCTCTGCGCGGTGGCCGAAAGGGCTTTGTCCCTGGGATCCGCTCTGCGTGCCGAGGCTTGGCGCGGGGTGAGGGGCGCGGGGGGCGGAGGGACACCTCGCGGTTATGTAATGGGGCGGCCGGCAGTGTGCCGAGCCAGCTCGGTCCGCGACAGCCCTCCCCTCCCCTCCCGGGAGTACGCCGTGACCCTTATCAGCCGTGCGCGCCCCTAACCTAGGCGAGCGGAGGCGGCCCCGTGTTCTCCAAAAGAACTTTTCCCTGCAGGGTCCACAAGCAAGGTCTGGAGAAGGAATTCAAGGACTCCCTGAGGCGTCTCTGGCGGGGACGTGTCTTCTGCCAGCCAGCGCTTCCCAGGTCACAGCACAGGAAACTGAGGCCCCGAAGTGTTAGTTAAAAGCGTCTCTGGGAATTAGATGGACCTGGATCCAACTCTCCTGAAAAGTTTGTGACCTTGAGCAAGTTAAGTCCCTGAGCCTCAGTTTCCTCACCTGTGAAACGAGAATAGTAATAGCCCACTTCAGGTGTTTGCCGAGAGGACACAAGGAAGGAAAGTGCGGCGCCCGGTATGCACCACGCCCCGTAGACGTTACTGCTGTTGATTGGGCTGAGGTTCGTCCCCATTCCTCAGATGTTGCCTTAAAGGCGGCGGTCTCAATGACCTACAGACGCAGCCTCCCGAGTTTGCCCAGAGGTACCCCACGTAAGGCGGATTCTAGGCTAACGTTCCTGTAAACCACTCCGTCAGACGCAGGTTCTCCGAACTGCCTGATTCCGGCTTCTTGGGGTCTACACCCTTGCTATTCATCAGCATCGTTGTCATGTGGGAGCTTGCTAGAAATGCGAATTCTGGGGCCCACCCCCAGCACCTTTAAATCATAATCTGCATCTTAACAAGAATCTCTAGGTGATTTAGTCAGTGGTACATCAAAGTTTCAGTAAGAGTTGGATTTCTTGGAAAATTTGAAAAGGGGACTGCAAAGTTACTAAGCAGCAGTCATACTATACTTCAGGGTTTTTAAAAAATAGACTAGTAAAGAAAGCCCTTCCTCATTTTACCCTCTGGCTGTTTTGTTTCTTGTCCTCCCCCTAACCTCCTGCTCTTTATAAATCTGGATTTACGTCCTTTTTTCACTGCAAAAACCTCTGCGTTGTACCTAAGTAATGATTAGTGAATCGATGTCTAAAACACACAAAAGAATTAGCAAATATGGCTTGTAAAAGAATTCATTAGCATTGAAAATGGATTCATAAACGTAGAGCCTTGGAGAGCCCTGAGCACTCACCTGTGAAGATCTTTAGGTTCAAGGCTTGAATAGTTTTGCATTTCAGAACATAGTTTTGGGTGGCAAATAAGGTCCATTCTCCATTTAAATGACGTAGGACAACCAGAAGTTTTGAAAAAGAAAAAAGTCTTGGAGAATAGAAAGAAACCTCACAGGCTTCCTTCTGTCTAACTGAAGTCATCACTCCCAGAGAGGCTCTAGCAAAGCCCAAAGCATGTACTTTGTTTATTTCATTAAATGCTGTGTGTTTGGGTTTTGTGTTTGTTTTTGATTCTTGGAATGTCCAGATTGTTTGCATGATTGTAGCTCTGGCAGAATGATTTCCGTCTTGTGTGAGCGGAGTAATTGCAGATTGTTGAGGAGGAGGAGGGTAATGTTGCCTGGCAGTGCCTGAGTTGGAAAGGTCATTTCCATCTGCCTACCCAAGGCTGTTGAACAAGCTGACGCCATGCGGACGGGCTGTGTGGACATAGAGTAGAGGAAGATGGTTAGAGGAGAGGAATCTCCGTTCTCAGAGGTTGGAGGTTTGGAGGAGCTGAGAAGGGAATGAGAAAGATCCTTCTGCTTGCCCTGGAATCCAACCAGGGAGGAAAGGGAAAAGGCAACATTTCTTCTAAACAGTGCTACCCCAGAGAACAGCCTTCAAGGGTGGAAATGTTCTACATTTGCGCAGTCCATAGGGCTGCGAAATGTGGCTATTTACATTTATATTTTCATGAAAACTCAGGGATTTTTGTGTGTGTTTGTGTTTAGTGCTAGTCTGTGGCAGTGCTCCATCCCAGTGTGTGGCTAGTAGCTACCGTACTGGGCAGCATATAAAACATTTCCTTCATCACAGAAAGGGTGGCTTAGAGGCCAGGATTTGGATGAAGAAGTGAGCCCCAGTATTCCAGCTTTTCCAAATCCTCGTCAGGACCTCAGCTGTCCTAAGGTGGGTGGAGGAAATTGATCATTAAACCGAGGTTACTGGGTCCTCGTGAGGGTCCGAACGGGCTAATCCATAGGATGCACTGAATGTAATTCCGTGCATAGAGTAAACGTGCAAAAAATCTTACCAGTATAAGCGTTAATAGTCATTTTGCTGTAAAGAAAAGTTGTTGGGGGGACATAGTCCTACAGTTACATCATTATTAGTTAAATAGACTTTTGCTGACGTGGTTCAGCTGCTCTCCTCCTGCAGCTACCATTTATAGCTCTGCTCCAACCCCTCCCCTCCCCTCCTCCTCCCTGCGCAGAGCTGGGCACTACCTGTACTGTTCTGGCCGGGAGGCTCAGCATACTTGCTCAAATCCCTACCATTTGGGTCCAATAAATAGGAAGTATGTTAACTAAAGTCGTATTGTACCGTAGTTCAGGGGAATCAATTTTCAGTTGAGATTCTCGGAAGCATGACACCTTAGGGTACATTATGGAAGGAATTGTTTGTTCCTGTTATTTGGTCAAACAAGGATGTGTGGACTCAGCAGAGAGAAATGAGAACATTGGCTCCAGATAAGTAATATTTGGGGATGTCCACATCAGACTGGAAGCTACCAGAAGCTGGAGGGCTGCGGCCGGCAATTTGAGGCTTTTGCCTAAATAGAAGTTGAAAGTTTATTTTCATGACTAATAAAGAGTCTCAGAGTAATTGCCAACAGCATTAAAAAAAGATGCGAGTATTGTCTGCTGTCAGTTATACAAATCAGGGCAATACGTGGAATGGGAAACAGGGAAATTCTTCCTGGTATGCCAAGAAACGTAAATTTCTGAATGACCTTCTTCTCAAAACCTATTCTTCTGGCTTCTTTAATAAAATCACAACCTGTGGGCAGCTTTGGGATCCCACTTTCTTTATTGTTGTCCTCGGTTCCTTTTTCAGCATTTCTTTTCTTACGAACATTCTCTTAGAATTCAGTCCCTAATTCTCTGCTCTCTTTTCTTAACCCATATCCCATGCCCCTCCTGTCATGCCTGTGGTTAACACCAGCCTGTCAGAGGCAGCGCTTTTCTGGTTCTGACCTCTCTCCAGGGCTTCTCGCCAGATCCTCAGTGGACATTGTCATTTAACATCTCCCCACCCCATCACTTCAAATGTTAACCTATCAGGAACGGAAGTTATTAGTGCACTCTGTGGTTAGCCTCCCCCCAGACTTTCTATTTTCTCCTCTTTGATATCATCACCTTGGTCTTTGGTGCTAAAATTCTCCCCTTTCCTGTGACTTGAAACAATGGAATGATTTTAACCCCTTTTTCTTCTTCATGGAGTCATGGTATAACTGAAAGACACTGAATTTGGAATAAAAAAACCAAAGTAAAAACCCCATTTTTGCCACTCCTTGGCAGGATGAACTTAGGAAATTTCTTAAGCCTTGTGTTTCTCATCTATAAAATTAGACCAACAGTACCTTTCAAAAAAATATGTCTTAAGCAGCTATTTATCCCAGGCTCTGTGCTAATCAGGTTAGATTCTCATCCTCTGCACTAATTACATTTTGGACCTGATAAGTCATCGTGAGGATGCTCTGTGCATTGTAAGATGTTTAGCAGCATCCCTGGTCTTTACCCATTAGATGCCAGCAGTAACCCTCTGGTCATGGCAATCCCAGTTGTCTGCAGACATTGCCACGTGTCCCCTGGGCAGGGACAGAATCACCTCCTGTTAGCAACCTTGGGTTAAAAGAATTCTGGGAGGAGCAGAAGTGCCATTCTCTCTGGGTCTGTGAGGATTCCATGGGACAATAGGCATGAGGGCAGCCAGCACAGAGCCTGACCAGGTCAACATCAGCAGAACATGGATAGCCACTCATTCATGGAGCTCTGTCAAGTGGAGGTATTTTCTGAAGCTCACAGTCGAAAAACATTTTCAGAAAAAAAGTTAGATTGTGTTTTTCTACATTTTTATTCCATCCTAGCAAATACTGTTTTTGAATTTAAGCAACAATAAAACAAATTTCTTACATTAAGTTTTCTTAATAATTTTGTTCTCTCCTTATCTATTCTTACTGATCTCCAGACTCGATTCCCTTATGCATAGCTCACTAGAATTACTCGACTTCCATTAGTTTAGTATTCCCTTACTCCTGCCCATCTGGACAACTAGCCTTCCCGATACCGTTCATGCCCTATATTCCTTCTGCTGGAAACTCTGGTAGTTCCCGTTTCCCTTATTTACTTTCACTGAAATGGAACTCCTCTGTTGGTTGGCCAAAGTTCTCTTCCATCCAGCCTTCCTATCCATCCTTCATCATCATGCCGCCCACCTGTCCCTGTGTGTCATAGCCCCCTTCTTGTTCTGTCAAGTCATCACGCACATTCCTGCCCCCTGTTCTTTTGCCCACACTTTTCCCCATACCTGGACTTTTGCTTCCCCTCTCTCTTTCTCTGCTGCCTTTATAGACTTGATAACATCCTTCAAGTTTCCATTCAAATTCCAACTTCTACTGATGTTCATAACTTCCTTTGAAAGGCATCAAAAAAAAAAAGATATGTGAACGGTTGGATGGAGGGAGAGAGAGAGTTGGAGAGTCAGGTGATAAAGCAATTTAGTTGAGTGTTCATCTAGAATCTAGGAAGCAGCAGATGTATAATTTTTCAACTTTTTCTCTGTTTGAAAATTGTCCTAATAAAAATAAATGAGATAAAATAAAAATATAAAACAAACATATTAAAGCCTTCCCATCTAACTCTAGACCATAGTGATTTAGAATTTAGGCTCTGCTGTTAGGTAGATCTGAATTCAAAGCCAGCTCCACCTCTTGCTGGCTGAGTGACCTTGGGCAAGTTACCTACCAATGCAAAACGTCAGCTTCTTCACCTATAAAACGATAAGAACACCTTCCTTGTGGGACTGTTGCAGAAGTTAAATGAGACATACACTTCTATAGTGCCTAGCACAGGAGCTGACACACAGCGAGGACTTAATAAATGTTCATGGAACTATTCACAATAGGCAGATATGGAAGCCACCTAAGTATCTGTCGATGAGAATGGATAAAGAAAATGTGGTATGTATTTATAAAATGGAATATTATTCGGCCATAAAAAAGGAATGAGATCCTGCCATTTGGAACAACATGGATGAGCCCGGAGGACATCATGCTATGTGAAATAAGCCAGACACAGAAAGACAATTACTGTATGATCTCACTTCCATGTAGAATCTAGAACATTCAAACTCACCGAAGCAGAGAGTAGGACGGTGGTTGCCATTGTCAGTGGTGGAAGAAATGAATATAAACTTTTGCTATATAAACCAAAGCTCTGGGAATCCGACGTACAGCGTGGCAACAATAGTTGATAGTACTCTATTCTATACTGGAATTTGCTGAGCGAGTAGATCTTACGTGTTCTCACCACACACAAGAAAGGTAACAATTTGACATGATGGATGTTTTATTAGCTTGATTGTGGTAATCATTTCATAATGTACGTATATATCACAGCATCATGTTGTGCACATTAGATCAATTTTTATTTTCAATCATACCTCACTAAAGCTGGGGAAAAATTAAAATAGGGGGTAGCTGAAAATAACAAACACTCCTCCCTTGAGCACATAGAGGGTGGGCTCTTTGGTGGCAGGAAGCCTGTCTCATGCTAGCAGAGTAGGAATTTCCAGAAATCTTTGCAGAATGAGTGAAGGTAGCTATGCATTACCTTGTTTGTTTACTTCTGCTCTTCTTCCTCCGGTAGATTCATTCAATTACTATTTATAAATCATTTACTCTGAACAAAGTCAGCAACCACCGGCAGTGGTTGATAGCCTCACTCTATCTGATAGCCTCAGACTTAACCCAATCCTTTCTCCCTGACATCAACGGTCTCCCTGTCTCAAGAGCTGCTGTGCGTGCAATGGGAGTGTTCTCTGACCCAGCTAAGACTCCTTCAGGGAACACATCTGGATGGAAATGCATGTTTCCATAAAGAATGGGGAGGAGAGAAAAGCTACAGGTTTTGGCACCCAACCAGATGTGGAGTATGGAAAAAAGGAGGTGAGAAATTCCCCAGGACCTGGCCCACAGACTTCATGACCTACCCTTTCTTGCTTCCATTGAGTAGAACAAGGCCCTACTGATTTTAATAATATTGAGCTTTGTTTCCCAGTGAATTTAGTAAAAA